GAGGTGCCTTCGTTCGGCAGCGTATTGACAAAGGCGTGAATATTATTTCGCGAGAGGTGCATTACAAAACTCAGGACCCGTTCACTTTGAGAGTGGCAACTTGACACATTTCGCCATTTTTAAAGAGAATGATCCCGATGTTCGTTTGGCACGGCGGCTGAACGTTGACCAAGGTGACCCCGGAAACGACGGTGCCATTCTCGAATCTCCGCTGCCAGGTCCTGTTTTGGATGCCGGGCACGGAGAAGCTCCAGAATAGTGGCAGTGGCTCGAGGCGGTCGCCACTCGACGAGTCATCGTGAAAGGTGCTCGTGAACGTCACGTTGTCCCCCGACCTCCACCATCTGAGAGCCAGGGCGCACAGCGCAAGCCCCGGTATGGTAGGATGGACCTGTGCGAGCGTGTGGGCAGTGTGCGCAGGGCGTACAGCTTAAGAGTGCGAAAGAAGATCAACGTGCGTACATACGCAATACGTGCATTGCTGTACAGGGAGTCCACAAAGATAGGAATCATTTTTACATATGTGTAGTTAGACCTAAGGTGAACTGCTCAGTTGATATGTCACAATGTGAGGGAAACTGATATTGCGATAATTGTCATATCACGAAATGTAATATCGAAATATAAATGTTGCGACAACCCTACCAATACGACTGAGAGCGACTTTTGAAAAACCCGACTGAATGTGTGATGATTAGGAAAACCATGACACTCCGCTGTCTTGTCGGGTATGTACTTTCACGTATTTTGTTCGGCAGGTGGAGCAAAACAGTCGGACATCATGTCGAACAACACGCGGCACAGAAGCTCCCTGAACGGGCTCCGTGTGGCGAGATGTTAACTACCTCGCCTGGTAAACAGGACGGTCGTGGGTTCGAAACCCAACCCTGACGCCTGCTGTATATTTGGAATTTGCATGTTTTCCCCTGTTGTTGCTTGGATATTTCTCCAGGTCCTCCGGTTGTTTCCCCTCCATATTTAGACATATGCCTTGAAAGTATTTAGCTGATATACATTCCACCGTGATAAGCCACTTTGTTGAGCTATCATTTGTGACCAGGTAGCTTCTGAAAGAGAGCTACCGAATAAAATACATATAGTTTATAGTTTAGTTTATAGAACATTCAGCTTCTTTAAGAAGCTCCCAACACATGTCAGAGCTATACAGCACAACGGTGAAAACATGGGCAGCAGGAGTAATACAGAAAAAAAGACGGCTTACCTGAATGTAGGAGACACAAGGCAGCCCAGAGATGGAAGCAGCTCACTGCGTACATTTTCAGCAGCGTCTTCGCCATCTGTGAATGTGTGCCCGAGCACAGTAGATGATGATATGCATTCATATTGCTTGCTCATGCGAGGCCAGTTGTGGTGGTGGGGGGGGTCCTGATGTACTGGAATAGTAGCCACACTGGATGAACTAGTCGGTGCGTGTTACTTTTTTTAACCATTGAAAGATAACCGTTGAATTTAACTATATTGGGTGCAGCGGCACGTGCATTGTTTGATATTGTACCGACGACAAAAGTCGAGTCTACTTTCAGGCAAAGCAACACAAGAAATGGGAGTAATAACATTATGTATATCTCTAACCGGGTCACCCCTCCACGCCGCCACCCCCGCCTCCGCAACACAACTCTGGTGTGGCCAAGCAAGCATCGAACAACACGGCCCCGAGAGACATTCAAACCCTCGTCGGATTTAACGATGCTCCAGGGCTCCAGTGCAAAGCAGCATTGAGACTCGAGAGTGGAGTTCCTATATAATTGGTGTGATTGGTATTATCAGTAGTGTATGGTCACTTGTGAACACCGCACACGCCACGTAATATATTCATACCTGTCAACTCATACGGGTTTACCCCGTATTATTGTGCAGGGGAACTGAGTTTTCAGGACGATATGCGGCGTTAATACAGTCTACATTTGTTTCGATTTGTTTGTGTGTCTCCCTTGTGAAGGAACTTTGTAGGATATACGTTGAGATGTATAAGGGCCACGGGGTGGCCAATAAGGTCTGAATTGGTCTGTAATAAGGTAGGCACTGATAAGGGGTGGACAGGTATGTCTATTACTGCCACACACAGAAGGGAAAAAAAAACATGGATAATACGTCTATGCAGGGTGTAATAAACAACCTTTAATTAAGGACTGCAGAATACTGTATATGATGTATATATTGTTTAAAATACATATCCAAATGTGTTCAATCGTGTAAGAATGTCAAACTCCACGTGCTGTATCGTTGGGTCCCTTTCTAACAGAGCGCGGTGGCACCGACCGGCTACATACGAATGTCTTATCACTCTTAACAGCGTCACATTACACTAGAGGTCCCCTCCGAGCTCGTCTCATGAGGTTCATCAGCACTGGAAGTCACCGGTGGTGTAAATCAGTTGAACATGGTGGGTCATTTCCCACTCAAACGTCCGTTGAGGCAACGCTCATGCATCTCCTGTTCACAGCCTTCAGGCAAGTGGTGGAAATTCCACATTCCTATGGAGGATGGAGGGGAGGCACAACCAATGTTCACTCTTCCCCCCCCCCCCCAACAGACAAAGTGATACTATTTTATCGACCCTGGAGGTATAATGGGGCTGAGTCAACCTGCAACCCGGATTTTAACTCACATGTGCTAGCTGGGCTGTTAAATCAATCGCACGCCGGTAATTCAACACCCCACCGTTATTCCCGCAGCTATAAACACACGCTTAATGTTATAAAATAGATTGATCTTATTTACTCGTAAAGATATTGTGCGCATCGTCGATATATAATACGTTTGTGGTTAAATCGTGCAATTTAATATTTCGTTGCTTTTTTCATAACCACACGAGCCGCACTCGACCAGATAATCTCGTTGATTTTAGCGATGATAGACTGGGTCATTGCTCGTGCCTTGAGTCACGGTGGCGAGATGTTAACTACCTCGCCTGGTATAGAGGAGGTTGTGGGTTCTAAACCCTGACGCCGGTGTATTTGGAGTTTGCGTGTTCTCTCCGGGTCCTGCGTTTTTTTTCCCTCTGCATTTAGAAACATGCGTCTAGAGTATTTGGCTGCTAGAAATTTCCACATGATAAGCCACTTCGTTGAGCTACAATATGTGGCCTGGTCGCTTCTGAAAAAGAGCTATATACTGTAGCTCAGTGGGTCTTATCTGATAAAATAGAAATATCATTAGACTTCTTTTGCCAGTACCAAAATATAATAATAGAGGTTTTCCCCTTTTTTCTGGCAACAAAACTGAAACCTTTTTACGATGATTCATGTCTGCATTAACCACAATACCTGCAGTCAAAATGCAAACAAAAAACATACTATGGTAATATATGCATTGTCCTTGAAACTGATTGGTCCACACCAAGGGACGGCTTTCTTTTGAGCCTCGACCCAATTGGTGCTCGACCAGATGACGCCAAAAGGCGTCACACAGCTCAAAGACAATGCACTATCAAAGTAATGAGGGCTCGGGGTGAGAATCTACATCATTAGACCTCCTTTGCCAGTACCAAAATGTAATAATAGGGTTTTTTCCTCTTCTTTTGTTTGCATTTTGACTGCAGGTATTGTGGTTAATGCAGACATGAATCCTTGTAAAAAAAAGTTTCAGTTTTGTTGCCAGAAAAAAAGGGGAAAACCCCTATTATTAAAATAGAAAGTTTCGTTTTTAGAGTCTCAGCCGATGCTGTATTCAACTTGGCACACGTCCCGTGCTTGTGCTGCTGCATTCTTCAATGCTCCATTTGCAAGTCGTGTTAGATAACACCCATCATCTGGTGGCATATAAGCCTAAGAGAAAGGAGGAGGCGTTAACCTTCTGCGGCTCCAGCCTTTGTGGGTCTCTCGCACCTACGAACCACAAGGCCAGCTCTCTTCCCAGTCCGAACTGCTGGCGATGATGATGTACCTGCTGTTATATCGATGAGAACACCGCACCCCCCACCACCACCACCTCCGAGGAACTCCGATTGGGAGCAGCTGCTCCGATAGGTCAGGACAGAGTGCAGAAACCCAGATACACGCGCGCGTGACAATACCGCATTGTATGCGGTGTTGTCACGCGCGTGTGTGTCTGTGTGTCAAATATATGTAAGCCATGTGCTGGAACCAAGTTATGATTTCCTTCATGGGTCGGGAGATGAAAAGCAGTATCGGCCTCATCATCATCTGCCATGGTCAATCCACTGTTGGTTGAAGGCCTCCTCAAACCGCCACCTCCTCCAGCATAAACATCCACCCAGCACCTGCACACAAGCCATGTCTTCAGTGGACACCCTCTCAGAGGAGTTCCATTCCTTGGCTGCTCGTCACTCTTCTGGACCATCGGCCTCCATCCCTTCAGCGATATGTTCCGCCCAACATCCTTTTAAAATATTAAACGTGACTGCCTGATAAGATCTTTTCTATGTGGCAAACATCGGGTTCATCTTCTTTGGTTCTTTCGGTAAAGTCACGTAGAATGAGAATAAAATAATAAATTCTCATTCTACGTGACTTTACCGAAAGAACCAAAGAAGATGAATCCTTGCAGTCACGAAAGCTTTAAATCGAAACATCGGGTTGTCACGTCTTTATTTCCACAGGATTATTCTCTTATTCTTAGCTCTTTCGGTAAAGTCACGTTGGTTTTTTCACACCTGATGACGACCGTTTGTGTTATGGTCGAAACGTCGTGAGAATTTTTATTGTTTTATATATATTTTATTGTTTCCCTTCAACGTGACTTTACCGAAAGAGCTAAGAATATGAATTACTGCAGTCACGAAAGCTTTAAATCAAAAGATCATTCTCTTGTTGAGGCAACAGTACACTTAAATTCCAGATTTTTTTGTCAGCTGAATAATAACACACCACTCAAGGCAATGCGTTGACATGTAGTTCTCCTCTCTGCGAGACTCTTATTCCCATGATATGTCCTCATTTTTGTGCCCGAGATGTCAAGCCTTTGAACTCCTCGATGAAATACATCAGCGTACATTATACTATAATGTATTAGAGCAGTGATATCTTACCAACATCTTTAAATTTATTAGCTCCTTATACACGTGACTGTGAAGGAATCCGTAATGGCAGAACCATTTTTTTTAAACTGTGTTGGTAGTGGTGCAAAGGACAAACAGAAAAAATGAAAAGAAAAATCCATGATCAGGGACATTTCAGGCAATGGCCCTTCAAAGGGCAAGAATGGTCATTATTATTTTCTCCTTTTAGGGTTAGTGTTATTGATGGATGTGTTAAGTTGACTGAAATTATAACAGTGAGTATGGATTAATACAGAAAAAAATGTCGCCTAATTATGTTATCTACGGCAGTACGACACTTCCCATGATTTAATTTTTTTAATGACCTTTGGTTATTTTATTTGAAACGTAAATGCGTTTATTAAACAGTATATAACAATGCATATTAATTTAAAAGGGCTTAATTAATACTAATACTCTTAAAATGGAAAACACTTCAACCTGTCAATTAAAAACTATTTAACTGTAATGTTTTTTTTTTAAATGTCCCACATTTTCTCTGGGCTCCACATTGCATTGTGAAAGTCAATCGATCACGTCTGCTCTCTCTGTTCACAAAAATAACCATTTTACACAAGGACAGCTTTTATTATATATATGGTTTCATGTTCTAAGCCAATGGTATTCGTGCAAGTAGTGAATATACTTGTATATATTGTGAGATTATTTCATGTGATTTGTCTCGGAAAAAATTATATCAATTGAATTTAGAAGGGCAAAGGTGCAGCACAGCAATTATTTGGTCACCACTACTGGTAGAAGGGCCTTTGCTGGAGGGAGTTCTAGAAAAAAACCTCTTTCGTGCGTATTGTGGTCTACTCCTCCACACTGATTAGATATCTTGGAACATTTATAATCTGAGTACTTGTGAATGTTGTAGATTTGCTCTTCAACAATTCGTTACTGTACTAGTAACGAATTGGCATGTATTCTGTTTAGGTGACAACCCTTACTAATTGGCTGTGTCGGGTGGTGGTGGGTTTAACGACACATTTTTATTTACGCGATTTAACCCCAACAAAACGATGTTATGAACATAAGACTGTTCAAAATCCCTCTCTTGACACAAAGCATAAACTGATGCATAAGGGTTGTAAAATAAATATAATCAGATGTGGTGTGAAGATATTTACGTGTGTGGGAAGTAGGCTTACCACCTCTGAGGTACATATCATGGGAAGAAGTATATATCATGATTCCAGAGGAGGGGAAAACTACGTGTGAGTTGAGTGCTATTACTAATTGAGTGTTATTATCCCAAACAGCTGGGGGAGGGGGGGGGGTTCGTTGATGACTGCTTGCCATTTTGGGCCTTTGGGCTCAGCAACTGTGTTAAAAAAAATACATCTCAAAAAGAGGATGAGCAATGTTTTCCATGGGCCAGAGCAGAAATCGGTACCACCAAAGGTGGCACGACTTTCCTCGTACCGACGTGTCTTCATGGCTAATACAAGTGAATCACGTACTTGATAACTCAGTTGCTCCGAACGATTATCACACGATTTACTGAACCAGTTAAAGTAATGCCACCTCAGGTGGTACCAACAAATGTGACATCTGTTTCGAACCAATGGGTTGCAACCAGGACAGGTTGCAACCCACGTGGGGAAGCACTGAGTTGAACATTTGAGAATAAAATGGACAGGTGCAGACAATTCAAGAGATTAAATAACTCCCCCTCTGCTATTGTTCGTAGAAATGTTTGCACATGTCCATTGTTGTTCTCCGATTACCATCAGCTCTTCTTTGTTCTGTTTGCCATTTTGATTGAACTGTTCAATAAGAGCAGCCTGAATTATTTATGGACCACATGTTAAAATATTACGAATTATATCCGAGCCAAAATGGAAGAGAAGGTACAGGACGCAATATTGAAAAATACAGAAATACAATCACAATGTAACTAAATCGTCCAGTTTCACACTCACAAGAATGCATGTTTCCACTCTGCTCAAAACATTACACAAATTATCTCAAACAATATATTAAAAAATACTCGGTGCAAGCTTCAACTTGCACTTTCATTTCAAAGATAAGTCATATTTATCATCGTGTGTGCAACTCTTAAGGTAAGTAACAAAAATATTATTTACAAATTGTTGTATGTGTGAAGTTTAGAAGTATGTGAAATCAACAAGTGCTTGGACAATATAAACAATTGTAATGTTGTTTATTAACTAGTCTCTTATATACAACATATATGTATAGAATTCTGATACTCTTATTAAAAGACAAAATTGTGCTGGAAATTAATAAAGGTGAGCACTTATATTAACATTATCACAGTGTCCCCAGTGATTGAACTTACACTCGAAAGTCCTGCACTCAAATCCATATTTACAGTTTTCACAACTAACACGTCGCTCACTATGCAACCTGAATGTAACATTGTTCACATAAATCAGTCTTAACTGCCATCAGACCACACAAACGCCTGGTCAGTCAATGAAGGTAAAAAAACGACCGCAAGCTGCTATCGTTTGTATTGTCTTATCTATTTTTTTTTTAAAACAGTAAGGTGACAGAATTGTTCCAGATGCTGCCGTCCCTCTTTTGGCATTGTCCAAGGGGTTATAAAAATCAAATCACGCTCAATGCAGCCCGTTGGTGTAAATGCCATTCGGGGGCAGGTGATAGGCAGGGTCTTGTGGCTGATAACTAAAAACGTTGTAGGGCAGCAGAGTTTCACGACGCCCAGTCCAAACGGTGGCCGGCACCTCCAGGCCACCACCGCTCACGCCACCGTCCATCACTCCCGCGCCGCCGCTGTCATCAACGTCGAGGGCGGGGCGGCCCTGTGGCAACGCGTTCGAGTTGTTATTCCGCTGTAGAGTGAACGGGTGTGCACCGGCGGGCAGTGAGCTTGCGAGGCCACCGCCGTCGCCCCCACCGCCACTCGAGGCCTCGGTGGGGTTGATCGCAGCCTTGACATCGCTGTTCTCGTAGACGTGCATCTCCGGGCCCCAGCGAGTCGGCGCTGAGGCCGGGAGCCTCACGCCTCCCGGTGGTCCCGGCGCCCCGCCGATGTCAGACATCGCGTCGTGCTGCGAATACTGTGCCCAGCTCGGCAGTTGGGTGCGTGTTGATGCGACGCTGGCGGCGGTTGCGCGTAGCTGCTCCAGAGCCAACAGCTTGGCAGGGAGAGGCAGTGCGCGGGAAGGCAAGGGCGCCTCTGGAATCACTTTGGTCGTCTCGCCTCCACCCTTGGTGCCAAGTCCGTGGCTTGTGGGCAGATGTGCGGGAACGGTGGTTGTGTAACCGCCGTCGAAATCCAGCGCTTTCTCCAGCAGATGCCCTTGCAGTTTCCAGCCGCAATCCACCGTGATTTCTGAAAACGTCTCCGTCTCGCGGACGTCCGGCGATGACGATAGAGTGATTCTCAGGAATCCTTGCAGGCTCTCGGGCTGGGGGCATAAATAATGATGAACATTAACGGGTGGACAACAGCACAATACACTGTTCGTGCAATAATGGCATCGTCAACACATTGTCTATAAATGAGAACTAAATTGGCCGATTGGTGATGCAGTACTCGGAGCACTGTGCCGTGAAGCCAGTGGTGGAAATTCTATATTCCTCTAGTAGGCGTGCGTATATCCATAAGACAACCGCTGTTTACTTTCCTGGTTGGGAACTCAACGTTATACTAAAGATGTGTCCATATTGGATCATATTACGAGAGTTAAAGTGCCCCCCCCCCTGCCCCGATCCCCATAGCAGATGGATAGGCAGAGCTAATCTAATGCATGGACACTTTCCATCTTAGTTGGAAAGCATTAGAAATAAACACACGAGAACTTTTGCCAAACAGGTGCCTTCATAGGACCAACCCCCAGATTTGGAACAGCGCATGAAATCGAGCAACATGAAGCACAGCGGCTAGGCCAATGTACGCCTCATGCTATAAAAACTTAGAAAATACCCAACTGCACTATATTTGTTTCATTTGAACTGTGCAATACAGTACCTTGCTGAAGTCAATGTCCCTTGCCCAGCTGCAGTTCTTGGGATCCGGAACTTTGTGAAAAAATACATGCTTCATTCTGTGAAAACACAAATGTGCAATCCACGGGCAATCGAGGCAATGTTTAATTTCAAATGGTGACCACAAATAACTATGTAAAATCTTTCTCAGGCTCTTGTTTTGTCCTTGGATAATATTCTCATGTCTTGGTGTATTGTCGAGCCTGCATTGCTCTTCCACAATGTATTTTCTTTGCAATTATGGATCTGAGTGATTAATTTGCTATTATCTAAAATACCCCATTTGTTGTACTGCATTCGAGGCGAGGTGTAGAATATGATGATGCAATGACGGAACCATGTGTGCTGCTATTGTGTGGATGCAAAGGCCTGCCGAAGGGACATCAGAAATTGGCCTGTGACTTGAATCGTGTCGGGTCGTTTTCTAGCACAATGTGGTGCACTGCTAACCGGAAAAAGTTCGGAATGGATTATTTTTGTCCCATAAAACGATACTGAAAAGTAACCACACGCGGTTATATTCCATTGCATGCCTGGGAGATAAAAATGTGAAGATAAAATAGAATTTCAGAAAGAGCATTATCCATCATCATCATCATCCATCGTGATATATCCACTGCTGGATGAACGCCTCCATAAGCCGTCATCATCTCCCACAGTCTTGCAATGCAATCATCCATCTATCTCCTCTGTATGAGCTGCATTCATCATCGCTCTATCTTTGCGATGGGCATTCTCTTGTTCCCTCCTTTGACTGCCATTAATTCGTTATGCTCGATCATTGCTCGATATTTCTTCTCGCAGAATGTCCTGCCCAAACCCACTGACTTTATTCCATTTATTTAAATGAAACTTTCTATTTTACCGGGTATAGCCCACTGAGCGAATAGCTACTTTTTTAGAGGTGATCTGGCGACACGTGAAAGTTAAACGAAGTCGCTTATTATCTATCATACGTGAGAGTTTATAGTGGCAGCCAAATATGTAATCTAAATGCATGTTATTCTTGGTTCTTTCGGAAAAGTAAAAATATATTTTTTATTATTTTATTGTTTCCCTTCTACGTGGTGACTTTACCGAAAGAACCAAGAATATGAATCCCTGCAGTCACGAAAGCTTTAAATCAAAATTTAAATGTATGTTTTTCATTGCAGAGGGAAAAACTGGAGGAAAATCCACAATACCACCACAGGGAGAAAATAGGCGGACTACAAATATACACGAGTCCTTGTGGGGATCGAACCCACGACCTCCTGCTTAGGAGTCAAGGGAGACATCTCCTCACAACAAACAATGCGATGTCTCTAACTTTAATTTCATTGCGAAAAATTTGTATTCGTTTCTTGCAATTTCTACCCTCTGTTATCACCGTGGGAGATACAACAACAAGAAGCATAAACCATCATTTAAACTCCAGTCATCCTCGCAGCGGCTTCTGGCCACTTTCAGATGCGCTTCTGCGGCCATCTGAAACGCTCTTCCTTCCGATACTAGGAAGCCACTGGAGCTATGCAACTTTTGAATCTAGATTTCAAACTAATTTCTTTAGAACTGCTTTTTGTGTTGAGTTTGTTGTCCTTCCTTGCACCTCCAATCAGCACGATTGTGCTACATACAGCGAGAAATAGGTTCAACATACATACATGTGTTGGGGACTCAGAGGTGCCTGGCCAGTAAATCATCACCTGAGGCAAAAGCCATGGGCAGATATCATTAGACTCAGAGATGCTTGGCCAGTGAGTCATCTTTGGGGGCAAAGCCCTGGGCAAGAATTGACTAATTCAGAGCGAGATAAGAGAAGGGAGCTTGGGGTGCGGAGCGCTGAAGCGTGGCGTGTTACCTGCCGTATGACCGGGGACGTTAACTGTGGGTCATCTAATGAAGAGACCCTTTGCGGAACACGGTGTGAGCTGAATTCTTTCATATACATACATACATAATGAGTTGGTCTTTCTGGAAATAATGACTCAGGTAGCTGTCTCTGGCTTAGTGGTGTGGGACCCCTGGTGTAGAATGAGCTATACATGTTGAACTTCTTTTGCACCATACGTAGACAATTGTATGTAGCTAACCGTGCTTATCGACATCAAATGAGCCTCTCTAAGAGACCAATGTACCCACAACAGGGTAGCGGGGTCCTGGGAAATATGTTGATTAATAAAGGCTGATAATCACCAAGGAGACCATTGGAATCCATAAATAATATAGGTTTTTGGGTTAGCTCACGTAAATATATTAATGTGTCGTTAAAACCCGCCACCACCCGACACAGCCAACTAGTAAGGGTTGTCACGTAAACAGGACATGCCAATTCGTCACTAGCACAGCACACCGGTGTGTTGGAGAGCCAAGCCACAACATTTACAATCTGAGCACGACGTTTCGCCAGTAATTACAAGTAGATTAATCAGGCGACAGCCAGATTTGTGAAGAAGTCTAACTGTTTCGTTCCTTATATAGAGGCGTAAATCTGTTGACCACCCTCCTGCGCTCTTGCACAATGAGTGTGGGGGGGGGTTACTAAGGCAACGTACATTATGTGCATTATGCGAGCCCTTTGAACTTGTCCTTCCTGTCTATTGTGCGTATTAAAATAGCCAACGGTAATCCCTCTTGAAGTACTTCAGTTATAATGTACGTTGCCTCAGTAACTCCCACCCCCCACATTGTGCAAGAGCGCAGAAGCGTGGTCACCGCATCTACGCCTCTATATAAGGAACGAAACAGTAAGACTTCTCCACAAATCTGGCTGTCGCCTGATTAAGCTAGTTGTAATTACTGGCGAAACGTCGTACTCAGATTGTAAATGTTGTGGCTTGGCTCTCCAACAGACCGGTGTTGCTGTACTAGTGACGAATTGGCCACGTTCTGTTTACGTGACAACCCTTACTAGTTGGCTGTGTCGGGTGGTGGCGGGTTTTAACGACACATTTATATATTTACGCGATCTAACCCAATAACTTCTATGGACGATATTGGTCGCGAAAGCCTACGTGTTAAACTGGAATTCATAAACACTGTGGAAGGAATGTTTGCATCTAGAGACATGTTCCAACCACATATCACTACAATGTGATATAAATATGGCAGGTTTGGGTATGCCGTCTAAATTTGTATTTTTATATCTTGAATTTAAACTCTTATTTCCACTCACTCCATTAATTGATTCTGCTTTGCCACATGCTCTTGCATTTTTTTTCAGAAAAGAACTGCTAAGAGTCGAGTGTTGCCACCTCCGAGGTAAAACGAATTGGGGAATATCATGGGAAAACGATTATCTTGCAATACTAGAAGAGGGGAGAACTACGTGTAAATGCATTGTCTGGAGTGGTGTATCAACACATAATCGACAAATACAAATTAGGCTTTTATAATGTCCCGGCAAGACGTTCAGATTTCTCAGAAAAGCCTCCTCAAAAAAGGGGACTTCCTCGGAAAACCAGGAAAGGTGGCAACCCCACACGAATCCAATGCTCTGGCGAGTTACCTGGCTGGGACGATGACGATGCAGATGCATGTGATGATCCCACCGGACAGAAGCAATAGACCGGCAATGAGCATCATGATGAAAACGAATTCACGGAAACCTGCCCAATAGAACAAACATACAGGCAAAAAATCGCACTCCTGTGATCTTCAGAATGACAAGCTTTTAAAGGTAAAGGAGCAGCACTCCAATTGCTTGCTCATCTCACTGCTACCAGAAGGGTTTCTGTTAGAGTGAGCTGAAGAGAAGCCTTTTATGCTGGGCAAAATTATGTATGTACGTTGAACTTCTTTCGCACCCTACGTAGCCAACCGTGCAAATCAAATGTCCTGGAAGAGGTGGTATTATCTACACTTTGCACCACGACACACGACCTGACAATTCACTGTGGTTGCACATCGAATTGGCAAACTCTGGATTGCAAGTCCATTGCTAACTGTTACATCATGGCAGCATCCTGCGTAGCTTTACATTTTACAAAAAAAATTGTCTTCACTCACAGAGAGTCTCAAGGCACTTTGACCAGAATTTAATGATTACATCAAGCAATGTAGGACCTACTATTAGTGAAATTAAATGTAAAAGTTATTCTTCATCTGTGCTATGGCAGCACACAATCACTTATATTCTACATCATCATCACATTATTAAGTATCACCATTGTCATCATTGATATAACTACAAATTCCACCACCGAATTCATGATGATCATCATCACCATCTTCGTCTCCTTCATCACCATGATCATCATCATCTGCACAAGTCACACACAGGTCTCGGCACTGAGGAAACTATTTCAGGTCAGTTTTACATAAGACAGTGAGAATATAACAATTTGTAATGCACAGTTTGTGTTCATATATAGAGGGAGATAATGATTTTGAGGCAAAGGAACCACAATCAAGTGGTAAGGAGGCTAGAACTGGTGCCAACAATTGCCCAAGCACTGTTGTCTTATATTTGGTTGTTTGGCCAAACTCCATATTTGGTTGTTCAGCAAACTCCATGAACTTTCATGCACCATTTCCTTTGATCGATGTCTAATGGGAATCACCAGATGGTTGCAAGGCTCACATTGCCAATGCTAGCAACCTGTTCTGGAGTTGCAGATGTAACTGAAATGACTGGGGTACAGACAGGAATCACTGTTGGCGATAGCAAAGAGGAACAAGGTGAGACAGCTGGCCGTGTCAGCAGTGCAGCAATGGAGGTCGGCCACGAAGCAGCTGAACAATGAATGTAGCGACTTGGATGGTGAGGCCAGTGGCAGAAATTGTGCAGATCGCGAAAGAGTACAAGCGGTGGAGAGAGTTTATTGCAAAACGCACCACTGGTGCCCCTACAATTCCTCTCAGGGCCCTCATAACCTCACGGTTAACAGACTGATCACGATGATGATGATGATGATATTGAGTGCACTCAATGTTAAAATTCTCAAGGCACTCTAAATGCAAACCCAAAAACCTCCCCGCACCCCGTCTGCACCTCTGTCATCCTCCCCGATGGTAGATAGTTAAATATTTCTGTAAATCAGAGAGACAGCCCTGGCTGAAATGATACCATGAGGGCACTACCCAGGGCACTGCTCTGCAATGCCGGAACACTGTCGTGCTCACTTACCTGTGACGGCCTTGCTTGTGAGGCTGCGTGGGCCCTCTCCGGCTGAAGTGACAGCTGCCACCTGAAGCTCGTACTCAGTGTTGGGCTCCAGCCCTTCTAGGCGGTGGCTGCTTATGCATGTGCCCTCCACTGGCGATGTGCAGGGCACCAGCACTGAAAACAGAGGCAGCGGAACAAAATTATTTTCGGGGTGGGGGGCAGGCGAAGTGTTTTGGGGGGTAGTCAATGATGGTTGGACATATGTGAAAAATAGCTTCGATGCTCATCGGATTTATCCAGGATAAATACAGATTCTGATTGAGGTGGAGCAGAGGAGGCAAGGCGGGTGGGAATTGCTACAGAAATTATTATTTGAATACTGACATAAACACAGAGATATATAGATAAGCACACACACACTTACAGAGAGACATGAAAACAGATGCTAGACAGATACAGGGAGACAGACAGATACAAAGAGTTACATGCAGAACGAGACACACATAGATAGACACACACAGACATAGATACAAACACGCATGCAGAGACACAGAGACACGTGCAGGAAGATACATAGACACACACATATGCAGAAAACAATAAACTCTTATCCATCATATTCTGTATCCGTCGTTTTTGTCTATCCTCCATATTCATTGAATACACAAAGTAACTTTCTGTTCTCATTTAGTAAAAAGCGAAGGTGGCAGGGGCTGGCAAGGGGAAGTTACGAAGGGGTGGGAGGTGGGCGTGGAGGGTGGGGTGTGCTGTTATCATTGGTGTTTCTTTTCAGTTGAGTTATCCTTTGGGTGAGAGGCTAGAAGAGGGTTTGTCGTAAAAGGGGCATATATTTGGTCGATAACCTTTAGATGTTGATGCTTATCTCACGAATGGGGTGCTCTGACGTTGCTCGACCGGTGCAGGGCAGGGGGGGACTCGTGTAATTTCAAGTTGTGTAGAGTTTTTATCTCGGTAGTTGAACATTCTGAGAAAGGGTTGGGCTAATTCCATTGCATATGGTAGCTGTACTGGGTTTCATGGGCTCATTCTATCCGGCAAGGATGCTATACACTCCTGAAATGTTGTTAACTGGGCTTGGCTCATGCAGTTACTGTATGAAGAAACGTCGTCGTGTGTGGCAGATGGCCTTTTTTTCACATTTATTTATTGTGTTCCTAATGTCCAGGTAAGCTTGTGCTGACGGGGAATTTTGCCATTTTGGTCCGTTTAGCTCATGGGGGCAGGAAGCCACGAACAAGCTGGAAGGCCGCCAGAAACTGACACTGCCGATTATTACTCAAGCTCTTTGATGTGCCAGGAGGTGGGGGGGGGGGGGGTCATTGCTCTGTATAAACCCAATGGAGTAATTTTCATTTACATTTCCAAATTTGCCAAATTTGGACTATGAAGCTGTAACACAGTGGCCTGTTCTTTGCCGAAAGATATCTCACGGGATCTTTAAACGTCCTCTGTGAAGCAGATGGCAGGTAGTTTTTTTAAAACGGTTAATACACCCGCAGGATTCATTGCTGGATTTGAACGGTGAGGATGGCATGAATACCGAATATGCTAAATTATTGTGATTAATTATTATAAGATGCTAAGCCATTAGTGGTAACTGAGGCTTGTGGGTGGTATAGTGTAACTCACAAGTTTGTATGAATTGGCGGACAAACCAACATTTCTCCAGGAGAAACCTCATTATTTGGTGTTTTCTGTCTCAAACTCTGATCCACTCTACCTCTCAGGCTTCTCTCTGTGCTGCGAAGTAGGGCAATTGCCCGAAATGTCGCCTATTATGAACTTTTCCTTGCAAGCAGCTGGTATTGACAAATGTGTTGACATTTTTTGGAACTCTTTCTGATACTTTTCTGGCTTCCAAAGTGATAGCATTTGCGATGGATTGATGTTGTTGCGCAATACCTATGACAATAATTACTGTTCTGGTATTGTGCTCTTAAAAAATCCGGTCTTGTTTTAATTTAATGGCAGGATGCTTCTGTAATTTAATTGTGATAGCTTCAGTAAGGATCTTGTCGTCTGCGTTTAGAGGAGATATTGCTCCCAATATTTTTTTGTAATGGTCTGGTGGAGTGTTCTGTTTGTGCATTGCCGATTTACAGGTTTCAGTGAGTCAGGAAGTATTTTTTCCGCATATAGCCCGCATACGCATATAACCCGCAGACGCATATACCCCGCAAAAATAGAGTTTTGTGTAAAACAAATTTCAGATCGCCCGCACCTCCATATACCCCGCATGTATTCATATCTTTAACGTCGTTACCGCAGCTTAATTCCATCATATTAATACAAATTTTACATTTGTAATACATTCCACTATCAGTTGTTAACATTAAAATCATAACGTGCACAAAGACAACAAACTAACCGGAAACGAGTGAACTTAAAACAGTAAATAAGTAACAAAAGTAAATATCCAATAAATAAGTAACACATAACTGGTAGATAAGTAAGTAAGAGTACTGTTAGGCTGACCAGCATTCGACCTCATCATATTACAGCTACTGGACCGGTAGTTACCCCTGTACAGTTTTAGCACTGGTAGATTGCACACTGCGCAGACAATAGCGGCACTACGGTAACGCCATTGCCTCCTGGCAACAAAGGCATTGGAAGTTTGAACCAAAGCTCATGGTCGCGACTGTATAGTGCTCAGCCAATAGCAGCGGCCTAAGGTGCTCAGCAATTATGATTCCGCGTCTGGTAAACACTTGTTAAGGCCCTTCCCATTGTGCAATCCGTAGCCTCAGCTGAAACTTTCGCACCCCCCTACAGCCACTGAAAGTATTACGGTAAACAAAGCGCACCCACTTCAAACATTGTCGTTTCATTGTACAAACAATTCGAATAATTTAAAACGTGATAACATGTGCAATATTAGTGTGAGTGGTTTATTCAGGAGTGCTTTAGTCAAAAGTAAGTGTTGCATAGTGGATAGTCCTACCATGAAACAATTTAACGAGCTATGACATGTCATACGTGTAAAATATTTTTGGGATAGCCCACACCACCATATACCCCGCAGGGTCTTGTTTTGTTAGTAAAAAGTGGCATACCCCGCGGGATTATGTGCGGGAAAACACGGTAATTGCCTTGGTTACAGCTAACCAATTTAAATAACGTTAAAGTTGAACGACAAATGCAGGGGCTGCGTTGGCAGTGGTGTAGAAGCACATGTTTGAAATATTTTACAACCGTTGCGGACTAATGATAATTATGGTAAATATTTCCACCCAATAGAGTATATGTAAACATGTGAAAAGCACACGGCATCTGCGCATTATGCAAAATCCATCAACAGTTTCTGAAGAAGTGCATTGTGGTCCTCTTGTTTTAGGGTCATCATAAACATTTCTTTCAGCAAATGTGACTGACTGACGGCAGTAGTGCTACAGAGATAACTGTGGACCGGTTTCTTTGTTATTGGGATTCATCAACACCATATCGTCACCAATGCTCACTGCCTATGGAAACAATATATATGTGGAGTTTCCACTCTGATACTCCGGGGCCCATTTAATTTGGCTGGTTTTTGCATTATATATATGTGCTTGTGTGCTTTTAATTGTTATGATAGATTTCTCTTGTAATTCACAGATTTTAATAAAAACACGTTAGAATGCTGGTGGTGCAGAATTGTTTTTGCATGTTCAAATAGATGATCAGGGAGAGTAATATTCTATTTAGCTTGCATTCCAACATGTCTTGGACTATACATACGCTATTGTAAGTGCACTGTGGTTCAAACAATGCATATTTATGGGAAGGACTGAGATTTGTGCATAATGCTATAAACACTTTGGTCTTTGAAAATTGCAGCTCATACAAATACTGTATTGTGCAAATGCAATTCACTTTTGAGAAACATAGCAATTCCTCTGGCTAAATCAAGAAAATAATCTACGAATAATTCTGTACTGGTGTGGTCGTATGTTTTATTATGCAAACGCAGTTGAGTAACATCTCTCATAGAAAATATTGGTTATTTGAATTTATCTAGAAACATAATTCTCCATCTTCAGTCATTTTAAATGGAATTATTCCAATGCAGGGACATACACAGATGAGAACACATTGTTATACCATGCCTGTTTTGTATACACAATACTATTTTGTGCATCACTCAAAGGTTAGATATTTAATTTTGTAATTTGCTTCAGGCACCTCCTTTGTAATGGGATATCTCCATCATTGCAATCCGTATATGCACTCTAGGCTAAAAAAACAGCCTCAAAACAAGATAGCGAATGATATTCAGCCTGCTTTCATTCATTTGTTTTCCTTCAAAGTCCCTCGTGGTGTTATTTAGACGTGAGAGAAATTGCTAAAACGTCCACGGCTGTGTTCATGCTCCGAAGCTAAAATACTCGAGGCCCTGTTCAATCGTTACCGCACCCGTGCCGTATTGCTCGCCAACGGCGTGTTCGGGATTGCACCACGCACGGTCGTTCGACACGACATCGCGACGTATTTCGCTCTCCAGCAGCCGAAGCTCCCAGCGCGAGGAGCGAAACACCGCGGACATCATTCCGAACAACGCGCGGTGCAGCCAAAACGCACGTTGGAGCAATGTATTCACATTCTTGACAAAGCGGCCAACACACATTGGTGATCTGCTCCACAGTCATAGGGACATTGAAGTTGGTTTGCCGCAAAAAATCGACGAAAAGAAGTATTGATATGATATATGTGAGCATGAGCTTCATTGCTCTTCGGATTCCTCCGAGATAAGGGGAGATTGTGATTGTAATCAAGTGTTTATTGCACATTAAACACTACCGTGCTACTGATTAAAGAAGAACATCTTCTGCAGATGTTGGCATCTGCCGCTGCGCTGTGAGCGATATTGACGATTGTGGTGACGACGACGCAAGGTGTGGTGTCGAACTGCACATGGCTCGCGACCATCATCAACATTTCAGCAATCACGTAATCCAAGACATTCGATCTATTTCCATCTGAAGACGACGACGACATTGATGGCGGTGGTGAGAGTAATGAATGCCATGCTGCAGTCTGCGCAGCATGGCCATGCTGCGCAGACTGCAGCATGGCATTCATTACTCTCACCACCAGCATGGCCATGCTGCGCTGACTCCGCACCTCGTTTCGTTTGCATGTCTCCAGAAGATGGTCGGTAGTAGATGGCGTAGTGGGTGAGAAAGCCGTGCAGGTGGTCGATGCCCAGCGGGTCCCAGCGGACGTCGCACACGCTCGCGGAGCAGCTGTGCGTCAGCACGTTCCTCGGCGCCGCCACGGGAGCTGACGAGCAGAAGCGAGCGGTTTTTTTTTTTTTGATCGGTATTCATAGTCGCGATGCTTTGCTCTGAGCGAGAAGCGCACAGATCTAGGGTATTAATGATGGAAGAGGTTTTCTGTTTGTTGCGGGGAGAGTGTCTCACCTCCTTGCTTCATGTAGGTGTAGGTGCTGCTGCAATTTCCCTCTCCTTGCTGGGTGCTTGCGTACACAGAGACCTTGTACCGCACGTAGTCCTGGAAGTTATCTGTTGAGAGAATTTTAGTCGTGTGACTCCATACCAACGTCCTCATCTGAGGAAGGACAATTGCCTGAAATGGTAGCGTCCTATTTTCATTTCTCCTATAGGGCAGTGTGAATGAATAGTATGGTGAGTGTGTTTTTACTTGCGTCTAACGTGAGAAAAAACAATCTAATTTGGTACTGTCAGACATAAAAGCTCTTCATGTACTCACCAGCAACCGTGATTTATCCGCTACTGGATGAAAGCCTACACATGTCGACACCATCGCTCGTGGCCTCGCGGTACAACAATCGACCCCCGCTGCTGTACCGCGGGCTGATCTCTCATTGCCCCATCTCTGGGGCAGTAGTCCTCTCGGGTCCGTTCCCTCCTTCGGATGCCATTCACCACCAGTATTGTCCACCGTCTATCACCCCTTCTAGTGATGCTCGCTATCCTTGAGGTGAGTTTTTTTTCTTTCTGAACGCACCCAGCACCTCAATGTCGTGATGGCAACAGGAGCCTGGGCACAACTATTTCTTTTGCCGCGCGAGAGGCCTCCCATATTGAGGTGGCGCACACAGAATGCTGGGCTTTTTTAATTTTTATTGCCTTCTAATGGGGCCTCGAAGAAATTTCTTTGACAGCTCCTTCGGTTGTTGTTCCGACCGAGGGGCCGTTTTACCAGCGTCCGGTCCACCGTGGTGGTGGTGGTGGTGGCAGCATCAGATGTGCCAGGCACTTAACATGGATAGCTGGGTGCTGGTAACCATCGTCTTCCTCTGCCTCTCTTTCGAGAACGTAGAAATACCCGCCCTTTCTGCTCGGCACCTCAAGGTTCGCTCGAATTTATTTCCACATTGATTTTTTGTTGTTGTCATTTGTTGTTGTGGGTTGCACCGCACCTGTGAGCAACGCGCTCGTGTTGACGGAGCTCACACGGCGCCACCTGATGCGGCCGAGGTCCAGAGCCGACACGTTGGCCCACTCGACCAGGTAACCCTGGGGGGGCGAGTGCCGCCCCGCGAGCACGGGCACCGCCCACGTGACCAGCAGGGACCTCGACGCATCCGGTCGCACCGACACCTGGGAGGGTACCGGCCCTGTCATAAAGTATTCAAACAGATAACTCATTACGTTCATGTCCGACGATGCAATTCGATTATGCTCAGATCTCAGGTGAACACAATCGAGCACGTTGCTCACAGGTACGGTATGTTCATCTCGGGTGAACATAATCCATTGTATGTTGATTAACTGTCACTAACCAAACCGGTAATATGTACTGCGTATTCTCAGATGAACATAATCCATTGTAATTTATGTGATTACAGTAACGCCCCCCACATGTTTTTCCGCACCTGATCGGCACATAGCGATGACATCACCTTATTTTATTTAAGACAAAAAACTGGAACACTTTTTCATAATTATAGCAAATGGCCCGATGAAGCTGGTTGTAGTCACCAGCAAAACATCGTGCTCAAATTCTAAATGTTTACTTTCTAACAACACCGGTGTGCTGAAGTAGTAACCAATTGGCATGTTTGGTGTACGTGACAAACCTTACTAATTGTCTGTGTCGGGTGGTGGTGGGTTGACACAATTATATTTACGTGATCTAACCCAGATCGCGTGTCACAATTCCCATGCCAACTTATAGAAGATGCAAATTCACACATCTGTCTGCAGAGAGGCGTCTGGAACAGGGTTGCCACCGATTCCACTGTAGACCGAACCCAGATTTATTCTCAGTCAGCCTCGGTCTGTAATAAAGTTCAACACAACGCCTGAACCAGACCTCGCTACAAATAAATTCCTGCTGCCACCCAAACACAGATGCCAATTCCCAGATTGTCTGGGTAAAACCAGGACAGGTGGCGAACCTTGTCTGGATGAGGTCGATCATTGGGTCAGCTTGGAAATTAAACTGTGTATATGACTATCGCCGCCATTACCCTTCCTCTCCATGAGTTGTAAAAGATAAAAGTGAAGCCCTGAAAATGTCTTGCTCATGCCACTATTGGCGGATAAACCCCTCTCAACGGTATTTAGGCCTCCTATTCCATGCTGGTCAAAGGTCCCACAAGAGGTGGGAGTACCCACGCTTTGCCCTACCACACGTGACCTGCCAAACAACGGTGGCCTACCCATTTATACTTCTCGGTTGAGAGATGCAAGGAGATTTAATGAACTTGTACCATTATATTTTTTTTATCACCGAGCCAGAAGATGAACCAGCGACCTCTGGATTGCAGGTCCAGCATGCAAACCATGACACCGTGGCATGATCCTTGTTGTAGAAGACTGGAGGAAATCCGAATGCACTCATTGCCTAAGACAAGTCTATTCAACAATATTTTTCGGTTGCATACGTACACATTTGAAAATTGCATCTGGGTGGCAGGATGGCACAGTGTAACATTTGGGCCTCACAGCAAGAAGGACCTGGGTTCGATTTCTGACTCCGGAGGATTTATCCACAAATCTGGCTGTCGCCTGATGAAGCTAATTGCAATTACTGGCGAAACGTCGTACTCAGATTGTAAATATTGTGGCTTTTGCTCTTGCAACACATCTGTGTGCTGTACTAGTAACGAATTGTCATATTCTGTTTATGTTACAAACCTTACTAATTGGCTATGTTGGGTGGTGGCGGGTTTAATGAAACATTTATATATTTACACGATATAACCCAAAAAAACCTCTATTATGGAGTTTGTATGTTCTTTCCTTGTTCTGGACGGGTTTCCTCCAGGTTCTACAGTTTTTTCCCATCGGAAAAAAATCATATAAAAAGTAATTGGGATCAGTCAAAAATACCAATGCTGAAAAATTACTTGCAAATTACTCAATTGGGATAAAACATCACAACATGGCTCCCTACTATATCAGTCTGTGACACACAGCGCAGCACTACAATAATGGCATGAATACCAAACGTATTAAATTATTATGAACATTTCGCAACTAAATCTCCGATTGGGAGAATTTCCTCAGCACAGATGCTCAGATAACACGCACCTTGGTGGGAACGTGCTGGGATTACGAGCAGCATGTTCCGCTTGGATCGTCCGATGGAATTGCGAGCGGCCACGGTGACACGGTGCTGCGATGGCCCCAGGGAAAGTCGATACGACGAGACGTTGCCGACGAAGATTTCGCTGACCCTGCCACTCGTGTTGATCGATAGGATATACTCTTGAACGCAGCAGCGGTGATTTGCACAGGACAAGGGCTGTCGGTCAGGGTGGGGGGGGGGGAAGAGCACGGGGAGACGAGCAAAGCTTGAATGTGGAAAGCGAGGGGGAGGAAATCTCAATAAACGCCCCGCAAGTTGGCTGACATCTAGCTCGGCAATGTGTTTTTTTTTGTACGTGTGTATGTACGTGTGAACTTCTTTTGGACCGTACGTAGCCGACCGTACTAATCGGAGTTGTTCCCAGGGCCAGCTCTAGAGGCGTGCTCGGGTGGGCCCTCCACCACCAAATGTCCCTTTTGGCGCACCCTCGTCAACTTTCCTTAGCAATATCTCACTGTCATGGTAACCCCCCCACACAACAGCCGCGGTGGTGAGATGTCAAATCCCTCGCCTGTATATATTTGGAGTTTGCATGTCTCTCTCTACCCGTGGTCGTGTGGATTTTTCTCCCTCCGGTTTTTCCCTCCACATTTAGAATCAACGTGCTTTTATGGTATTTGACTGCTGCAAATTTCCACACGATAAGCCACTTCGTTGAGCTATCACTTGTGGCCAGGTCGCTTCTGAAAAAGAATATATATCTCAGTGGGCCTTACCAAGTAAAACAAAAAAAATGTTTAGTTTTATCCAGGTTGCACCATATTCTCTGGATTACAAGACGCACTTTTTCCCCCATTAATTTTAAAGCACAACTTATAATCCAACAGGAGCGCATGGTGTGTGCCTGACCAGATCTGCGTGACGTTATTGACGCCGAGGACAAGCTTGGGGTGTGTCTTACTTTCTGGAGCGTCGTGTGTAACGTGGAGAAATACGGTAACGCGTGTTGTTCGGCATGATGCCCAACATTTTGTTGCGTACATGTGCTGGAGCTTCTTCAAACTGAGCAGAGACTGTATTCAGTTTCCTAAAGGCGCTCACAGCACGTGCAGTGAAACGTCGGCCATCATGCCGAACAATACGCCGTGCGACTGAATTACAGTAGCACATTGGAAAGCTGTACAATACAACCGCAAATACCTAAGGCAGTGGTAATGCTGACATCTCTGTGGGTTTTAGAGTGGTTAGTTTCTCATATGCATGAGTTGTTGCACAGCACAGCAGTTTTCCTTCCACGTATAAAATAAAAACAATAACAGTTAATAGTTATGGCATGGCCCTGTACAGAGTAGATCAATGCTAAAATCATAGCCAAGTATTGTCTTTTTTTCTGTTTTAAGGTCATGTTAATGACAAAAGTAGAGTGTGTTTTCTTGAGTTTGTATTTGTACACCTTTGCCATTCCATTTCCTCACGTATATATTTTTTACATTCAAAGTACTTATCAAAGTTGTGGGCAAAGCAATTAGTTTACAGCAACAACGATTAAAATAATTGACTGCCCATTTGTCAATCCACTGCTGAATGAAGGCCTTTCAATGCGCAACAGTCTCGGGGGCTGTGTGAATGTGTTTCTCTACGCTGCCCTAGTGTGGGTTGTTATAGCGAGTGGCTTAGAACCAGTTCACACATCACTCGCTCCTGATGTTAACCGTGGCCAGGAATTGTACTCGACTCGCGAACACTTGCCCAACAACCCGCGGCACAACACAACGAAACATCAGAGCTATCTAGCACAAACCGCCAAAACCAACAGAATCGTATGTATGTATGTACGTTGAACTTATTTTGCAAAACAATGGCAACAAGGACATTAAACAGGCTGGTTCATCGGAGCAAAAAAAAACACGGAAAAATATGGTTTTAAACATAGATAACAGATAACAAGAGTTCTGTGAAAATAAACCAGCGATCGTGGTGTAATGGGAGTGTAGCAACTGATGTGAGCTCTGATTTGGTGTGGAGCAACCACAACGACTTCAACAAAAAAACGTTTGTTGATGCATTATCTCAGATGTGGCTGTTTCACCGCTAAACATATTCGCATTAATCTCTCGTGGCCAGCTTTTTGTGAAGGCTGTTCTCGAGACCCACCGCCAGTCCTTGCATTACTTTGGCGTGGGTGTTCATTTAGAGCTATCTGGCTTCACTGGTATGGAACCATCTCCTCGCAAACATCAGAGAAAATTAAATAAATAAAAATGCCTTTCTTTAGAACTGCTTTTTTACGTTCAGGTTGTTGTTTGTGTTGTGGCCGAAACGTCGTGATTTTTGTTGTTTTCTTTTTTTACCTACGTGACTTTACCGAATAGAACCAAAGAGTATGGATCCTTGCAGTCACGAAAGCTTCACATCTAGAATTGTTTATTTAAAGCTTTCGTGACTGCAGTAATTCATATTCTTAGCTCTTTCGGTAAAGTCACGTTGAAGGGAAACAATAAAATAATAAAATATATCTAAAACAATAAAAATTCTCACTCGTGACTGCAGTAATTCATATTCTTAGCTCTTTCGGTAAAGTCACGTTGAAGGGAAACAGAGCTAAGAATATTAATTACTGCAGTCACGAGTGAGAATTTTTATTGTTTTATATATTTTATTATTTTATTGTTTCCCTTCAACGTGACTTTACCGAAAGAGCTAAGAATATCTAGAATTGTTGTTTCTCCCCCGCACAGCCGATTAGCACAAGAAGCTGATCGTTGCGATAAATGCAAACAATAATAAACCACTTCTTGAGTGCATCTATAATAGAGTATTCATATGATTATTACTCCACTTGTTTATCCAGTAAAGCCTCACTGAGTCTCAAATCTTTTTCAAGAGGGTCCTGCCAAGTTTTAGAGTTTGGGGCGGGGGGGGGCGATGTTGCGACGTGTAATCCCAATCTAATCGAAGCGATCCGCATATCTGCTTGTTTGTACGTATCTTGAACTTATTTTGCACCATACGTAGTCAACCGTGCTAATTGCAGGTGCTTCTATCGTGTAACGCCTTGATTTCAGCTTATTAGCTTTAAATGATATTGCATAGGATACATTGCTTGGTAATTTGAAACCAGTGAAGTGCTGGGCATTAATTTAGATTACATTTTACGTCCAGTGATTTGAGATACCTTTACTGATATGAAGTACACTGTAAAAAATAAAGGTGTTTGATCGACATTGATTGAAGTTTATCGGTAAACTGGTGTATTCATTGGTAATGGCAAAATCAGTTTGAATTTTAAGAAGTTTCGTTTTGTAATCTTTATACTTTCTTTTTGCCATGCATGTGCTTAGTTGTAACTTTGCTGTTTAATTCTTGTGCGTGAGATATGTTTTACCATGTAAAATTTGATATTCCAGTGCACTAAGCAAGAACACAGTAACTTAAATTTATCCTGAGAATAGGTTTTTCCCCTTTTTTCTGGCAACAAAACAGGTGTTAAGCTGTTAAAACACCAAACTGAAACCTTTTATAAGGAATCATGCTTGTGGTCAGAATGCAAACAATACACGTACTCTGATAATATATGCATTGTCTTTGAAACTGATTGGTCCACACCAGACACAGCTTTCTTTTGAGCCTAGTCTCAAAATGGTGTTAGACCAGAGGACGTCAAAAGGCGTTAATAAACCTGAAAAAAGTACAAGCAGAAAATACAATGCTGCAGGCATCCTTTTGTGTCACAATGATGGCATTAAAACCAAACTCACTAAGTGGCTTATTGACCAAACACTGCTTAATGAACGAAAAATGTCATAAACTACCATTGTAAAGAAGCACCATCACTCAGTGTTTGGTGATACAATTTTTTCACTTATCGGGCAGTTATTTATAAATTATGACTCAAATAATAAGCAGTTCATGTTTTTTTTTTATATGAAGCCATGTCACTTTTTCTTTCGTTCGGATTAATAGCAGCAGATTAAATATGTAATTTTAGATATGTTATCCACTCAACTGTCTGTTCATCGCAAACACCTGCAGGTGTTTACGATGTAATCTAAAATGCGCCATTTGTGCATCAGGTGGCCGCACGGGCCGCATCGGCCATGCCTGGTCCAGATTTGGATGATGGTCGACCATTGGCGGCGTGGAAGATTGAAATCAGGAGGTTCGATAGTAGGATCCTGTATGAGATGTTTATTTTTTATTCTTTACATTGGCCGTAGTCCAGATTTGCTTCCATCTCTCGCGTTCATTTCACTGGGGTGGTGACATTGCCAATCGGTATACCATTCGCTGCCAGTTTCAGAGGTTCGCGGTTCGAAGTCAGCAGACCACCGTGGTTATCGCTGCAGGCGTGTTGACTGTATCAGACAAACTGTCTTGTTCACAAAGGACGCTCTAGATCCTTTGACGTTATTCGAAACAAAAATCCACTGTGTGCCAGCATCATAGTCTGTGATTGCGCTAGAAGAGATTAGCAAATGTACAATGTACCTTGTTATCATTATACATGTGTAATCCACCGCCTGTGTTTGCTGACTAAATGTACTTGATTCAATAGTGATTATAATTATTGATATTTTACCTCCCAGAGCACGGTGACTTCTCGGTTGTCCTCAGTCTCATTGTCAGCAAGAACTCGCCAAATATCTGGCCCATTCGCTGGAGCTGCGGACAAATCATACACAGCATCAAATAGACGCATAATGGGCAGGCTTGTCACCCCAGTATAGAACGCGTGTGTCTGAGCCCAACGAACCTGGAAATCCGAGTTCGATTCTCTCTCACGTAAAACAACAGCGGTGAATATTTGAGCTGTCCTGGGCCTCCTCCGAGGTAGACTTAAATGAGCACCCGGTGCAATGTGTGAACATCAACGCTGCGGAGACAAAGGCTGTGGTGTTGGCCACCCACTCCCTCGTGTACCCTGTTGGCCTTCATTAGGTGCTCATGAACAGAATTGAATAAGAATTGAACCCATCAGTCTGTTCAAGGCTACATGGGAGATTTTTTGAAATTTTTGTTTTTGAACCTTTAGCAAGCAGATTGTTTGTGGTGTGACTATGACAACTGCTCACTGAAATGTATATATGGCCACATAGTATAGCTCAACGAAGTGGCTTATCACGTAGAAATTTATAGCAGCCAGATACTCTACGCACAAAAAGTGGAGGGAAAAACCGGAGGACCCGGAAAAAAATGCACTTGACCACGGGGAGAGAGACCCGCAAAACTCCAAATGTCCAACAGGCGTCAGGGTCGGGATCGAAGCCACGACCTTCTGCATACCAGGCGAAGATAGTTAACATCTCGCAATCTGACAATTGGCTCGGTGATCTGACCCGCCGAGCCACCCGATGATCTCAACTTTTTGTTGTTGCTTCACGTACGAATTCTAGATTTAAAGCTTTCGTGACTGCAAGGATCCATACTCTTTGGTTCTATTCGGTAAAGTCACGTAGGTAAAAAATAAAACAACAAAAATCACGACGTTTCGGCCACAACACAAGCGGCCTTCATCAGGTGAAGGGACCAGGCTGTCTCGAGGACAGCGCTGTCCTCGAGACAGCCTGGTCCCTTCACCTGACGAAGGCCGCTTGTGTTGTGGCCGAAACGTCGCTTCACGTACGGTTCAGCTCTCCGACCGCGTGCAACACCGGCGAGCTCCACTCGCTCCAGAAGCCCTCGCGCCTGTACCCGTGGCCCCGCACGCGCGCCGTGTACACGGAGCACTCCTCCACGCCGTCAATCCTGTACCACGTGTCGTCGCCCACTGCCACCACCTGCAAGCAGCGAGGATAATGTCAACGGTGATAATTACTATTATTCACATCGCATCATTCACGCATATCGTGTCTCACAAACGCATTCGTATGATTTGTTTTCACGCAGGGGCGGGGGAAGGGGTGCGGGGAAGCACAGACAAGTGGGGGAAGGCAGCCACAAATGGGGCCAACGATTGCCCATGGTTTGGTGTGGCCCTAGATCAGACGTGGCCAAAGCACGGCCCCCGGGCCGTATACGGCCCCTTGGGCTTTTTAATCCGGCCTGGCGAACTTGTCCAAATATTATTATTATTATTAAATTAAATTTTCCCCTTCTCCTGTAATGCCCCCATTTCCCCATTAGATGGCGCACTTTGACCGGGAGTTACGACATGTTTTTGTATTGTTCATGTTCGTGCAATTTGTTAAATTGCCTTGCAAATAAATGCTTTGCTACCTGTTAAAGGCCAAATCCTTTCACGTAATTATTTTTAGATGTCATTTATACTAGTTCACACAAACACTCCATCCATCTGTTCCTGGCCCGGCCCCTCTATCAAATTTTAGAACCAATTGTGGCCCGCGAGTCAAAAAATGTGCCAACCCCTGCCTTAGATTCAGAATGTTTTGCCATTTCCATGAAGTGAGTGTTTAAACATGTGGGAGGAAACCGGAGTACGCAGGGAAAACCGACAAAAAGGATAAGGATTTGTAGTTGCAGAGCAATTTCTCATTTTTTTCTTTGAACCTATCTACGTAACTTTACCGAAAGACCCAAAGAATATGAACTCCTGCAGTCACGAAAGCTTTAAGTCAAGATTTGCATGTATGTATGTTGAGATTCTTTCGAGCACCGTACTGAGCCAAACGTGCTAATCGGAGGTGCGAAATGCTTCACAAATTCAAAGTGCCTGAGATCACATCTCATCTTAACCATTCCAATGCCCCTCTGCAGTCTAGTCAAGTGGAAACCCCAAATTGCATCTGTGGCACAAGGTCGACACATCACTGGGCTGCAAACATGAGCATGAGTCTTCATGTAGGGGGCACTGTTGCCGTGTGGCTTTGCCCAATTTTCTAACCTTGTGTGTAATTGATCAAATTCGACGCAATAGACTACAATTTTCTCAAAAAACGTCGCGTCTTTCACGTTCATTGTGAAGCAGACAGCATGCACTATTTAGGATTAACCAGGGTGGCCAGTTGGCTCGAACTTTGGCATTGAGAGGCAAACGTGCCTACGTCACCACCCACTTGTGCACATGGAAACAAACAGTGCCCTGCGTCTGTATTGTGGCTATAACACCTGCTGGCCAGATAGCAAAGATGGCAGGGCTTAATTACGTATACAAGGACTGCTCTACTTACGAACATTCTACTTACAAACTTTCAAAGATACGAACAAACCTGTTTGTCCAGTTGCCTGTTCGGACCAAGAGTCATAAGTTCAACCGCCGCGCAATAGATGGTGGTGGTGGCAACTACATCTGCAGGAGATTATACAACCTTTAAAGTGTTGTGTACATGCCACATAGCATATTTGGAATTCACAGGAGTAAAGTTGGACTTAAGGACACATTAACTTATGAACAGACCTCTTGAACCTAACTTGTTCGTAAGTAGAGGAGTCCCTGTGAACTATTGTCATGCAACCTCGCAATCCCATCCGCAAATTGCTGTTTGAGATATAATTCATCTTAAACCAGATGACCTGCCCAGGGAAAGCTTGAATCAGCCTCGCGTTGCTGCAGACACTCAAACCGGGCGATGGAGACGAAAGTTTAGTGGTTGCAGGGGGTCAGTTGAATCTGGCTGCAGTGTTCTCCCATCAGTTTAACTCCTGGCATTTGAAATTCATTTCCACCAAACTACGGGACTGTGTGAAAAAAATTCCCCACCCGACCCCGTGGCAGGTGTCCATCATCAGCATTACGTGACATGGCGATGAATCCTATCGGGTCACATTGGCCCCGCGAGCCGAACAAACCCACGCGGTTGGCATCGTCTGCACACTGTGGCTCGAACAGCTTTATGCACCTCAGTTCGCGGACTTGAGGTGTCGCTGGCCATGAATTCCACCTCGTACTGCATGGGGTAGATGTTGTGCGGCAGTGCTGTTGGTGGCTGCCATATCAGGCTTAGCCCAAATGAAGGAGCTTGAACAACGCTGAAGAGCACATTCTCTGGCGGGCTCGGCTTCACTGCAATGACACGAACACATCGTACCGCGCTGTGCATTGTGTGTGCTGTTTAAAAGAACGCACACGCACGCACCTTCCCATAGCGATGCAAAAAAAAAACCCCAGATGTGTCCGTGCACATTGCACAACTCGGTGGCCACGTAGGTCAAAAACACGCGGAAACCCGAAACAAAGTTGCCTTGGCACTTTTCTTGTTGAAATACCAAATCGTGATGTATGCTGTGATGCATTTTGTTGCGGGTGTCCTGTCCGTACGCCATGCTCCTCGGACTTCTGCCGCTCGCTTCATCTGTCCGTACATCCTTCCTGGCTGAATATCGAGCATCGCTGTTCTCTTCCTTCCTCTCTTCCCAAAGAATCTTCTCACCCCCCCCTCCACCCCATTAAAGAAGCTGTTCCCTCTCACTGGTGTGACGTGCCTAATCCAGATGTCCTTCCACTTTCTAATGCCATAAAGCACGAGTTAATCACGTGCAACACTTCGTGAAAGCTTACGCAATGATTCCCACGATTACATTATTTCGTGATGCTGCGTTGGCAGTGGTGCCCGAGCACAAATAACAAGCACAACATCTCAACACATTCAAATAATGCAATATATTGTAAAAGTATGCAATCGGTGATATGTCGGTCAATGACACATCTTCATAGCACAACTATGTGCTATGCATGTATTAGACCTATGAAGCTATTTTTTTTTTATAGATGTCACCTTCACAGATTATGTCAGTTATGAAGCTGTGATTATTATGAACTATTATTGTGTTTTTTTGTACATTTGTATTCTTTAAGCACTATTTAAGCACTACGTTCTGTTCCATTGTTCCCTGTTCCTCTGTAAGGATCGCTTCTATGTTCTTCTTGTTCTGTGATGATGCATGGCGGATTTCCCTTGCAAACAAGCGGGGTAACTGGCTGAACCCGATTTTCCGTGTAACAAATAAACATTGATAGATGCAGTGAATGTTTCTTAAACCTCCCTCCACCGTCTCTGCTCACCCAGCAGTATAAATCGGTGCACCGCAGTTTGTCAATTGACAGGTCACGTGCGGTGGGGTAAAGTGTGGGTGCTCTCTGGCCAGCATGGAAGAGCAGGCCAAAATAAATACCCCCTCAAGGAGTGAAGTAGAGCGCCCTCTATGTATGTATGTACGGTATGTTGAACTTATTTAACGCTGCACGTAGCCAAACCGTGCTAATCAGAGGTGCGTTGGAAGGACAACAAACTAAACACGGAAAGCAGTTCTAAAGAAATCAGTTTTCAATCTAGATTTAAAAGTGTATAGCTCCATTGGCTTCCTAATATTGGAAGGAAGCGCGTTCCAGACGGCCGCAAAAGCGCACCTGAAAGCGAGCGATGCAGAAAGGAAGCGCGTTCCAGACGGCCGCAGAAGCGCACCTGAAAGCGAGCGATGCAGAAAGGAAGCGCGTTCCAGACGGCCGCAGAAGCGCACCTGAAAGCGAGCGATGCAGAAAGGAAGCGCGTTCCAGACGGCCGCAGAAGCGCACCTGAAAGCGAGCGATGCAGAAAGGAAGCGCGTTCCAGACGGCCGCAGAAGCGCACCTGAAAGCGAGCGATGCAGGAAGGAAGCGCGTTCCAGACGGCCGCAGAAGCGCATCTGAAAGCGAGCGATGCGGTGACCGCTTTTGTTCGACGGCGAAAACAAAAGCCGCTGTGAGGATGGCCGGAATTTGCGTGACGGTTTAAGCTGTTTTAAGCGCGGAGGGCAATTCCACCAGCAGTGGCGTGCGGGCAAGCAATCGCAGGGATACATCTTTACTCATTTGAACCGACGGGGCCGAATCCCGGCGCGCTGCGGCGTATTATACCGACGTGCACCCACCGATGTCCCAGAGGTGCATGCAACGCATCTTGCTGCTGGATGAGCCCAGCTCGCTGGAGCTTTCCACCCACACCCAGTAGTTGTTGGCATGCGACACGCGAAGCTGGTCGAACTGGCAGTGGTACGCGCCGGAGCCGCCGGTCTGCAAGCAATCGACCGTCTTCACGTTGTCCCGAGCCAGGTTTTCCCACGGCACTGGAACGCTGCACAATCTATTCACGCTGCGAGCAAAAAAAAAGTCAAGGCGCACAGCACAACGTGCTTCGGCTTAAGCGTTTGATGCTGGTCAGTGTGGTCCCTGATGTGCCGCCCCCGACAATACACAACAGGTGAAAACACCCCCATCATCACCATCACCATCGTGCTGCTGCTGTCAAGCCTCCAATGGTTTCAAATGTATGGCGGCCCTCACTCACACTGATGATGATGTCTTATTGGCGATAGTGGCCCCCCTCTGGAAATTAGCGAAGAACACTTGCTCTCGTGCCTGCCCACGAGATGATTTCATCCCTGCATCGACGCCCCGGGCATCCTTTCGGACACGTTCCCTCCTTTGACTGCCACCCTGTTGTTAGTCTCGACCACCGGCCACCCATCGTCCCTTCTGGTGAAGTGTCGTGCCCAATGGCCGGTGCCCACTCACAATTTATTAACAGTCCATGCGGTGTCTCTGACCTGCGTACAGTATATGTTCTCTGATCCATGTTCGGGCAGGCACAAACACTGCCAACTGGGTGAATAAACCCGAGTAAGAAATTAATGCGTCGTAAATTGCAAAATGTATAAACAAACGCGCTTTAGCCAAATCGCCGCACATCCGTGAACAAAGTGGGAATTACTGAAATCGGAGGGGGGGGGGGGGAGGTGAACTTGGCCTGAGAACCAATTTACGAGAGTTGGAACTAAACTGGAAGCGTGGTGTGACCATGGGTCACGGACAACTTCCACACCACCCGTTGCTTTATGAGCTCTGTGCAAGCTTCGGTACACAAGTGCAGCAGCAATTACATAGAGCAGCTGCGGTGACATCTTGACAGCAAGGCCAATGTTTGTGCATAGTTACCTAATGAAAGAAAAACATGTTTATATTTGAGCTTTTTTCCCCACTTTGTGTGGTTTTTTTTATTGGTGTGTTATCCTCGTGCCACACGCGAGCACGAGGCGCTGCACCCAACAATGCGTGGGCATATTGCTGGCCTGGCATTCCATTGCTGAGGGAGGTTCACTTGGCAAGAGATAAAGGCGCAGCCCTGCCATTGCTTGGCCTTATAAACCCAGGCTGGCCAGACTGTCTTGGAAGAGGTGGGAGTTACTCCCACATAGCATAATTAAAATGTATAAATCACGGTACGTTGTCTAGCCACTGCTGGATGAAGGCCTCCCCATGCTGTATCAGTCAGAGAGGCTGTTTGATCGTGCATTTCCCATGCTCTCCCGTGTGGGTTGGTGAAAGGGTGAGGTTTAGAATCAGTTATTTCACTCTTATCCTTGGCCATGAATTGAACTCACGTCGCCAGGTTCATAGCGCAGCATGTTAACAACTGTATCACCTTCAAATGTATATCTCATGTATATTAGGCTTTTCTTTCACGTACGTCAAGAACTTATTTGGCAATACTGCGTTGGCAGTGATGCACAAACACAAATAACAAAAAACTCAACACCTTTATCAACGAATCTTCCTTAAAATGTACAAATATATACTAGTTGACTTTTTGGCAATGTACTATGAAGAAGGGCCCTTGCACAAAGTGCCACCTGTTATATATTTTTGCTTTCAAGGCCACAGTCGTATTGACAAACGTGTTGAGTTCTTTATAATACCAATTATACTCCACATCAGTAAAATTATCACCATTGTATTCACACTCGCAGCAGCAATTGACAACATTCCACCTCTCTCCTCACACTTACCGCCGCCCCCTAAGCAAATGCTTCGATATGTAATGCAATCATTTTAAAAATGTATATCCATACAATCTTTGTTACATATTTTATTTATTTTTCCATTTAATAAATTCACGACGATGCTGTGGTGCAATGATCAGCGCACTGCGTTTGCAATCCAGGGGTCGCCAGTTTGACCTCCTTGCATGGCAGTAGAAAACAAAGTCTCTTAAATCCCCCACGCCTCTGGCCACCCAGCCGTCTAAATGGCTGGGTGCTCGGGTCAAGCGTGGGTACACCCAGCTCTTCCAAGGCATCTGGCCAGTGTTCAAGAATACGCCAATAGGAGCACCCCGCTCGTGGAGTCCGCCGTTTGCCAGCAGTGGCGTGAGAAAGCAATTGCAGGGACTCTCACGTTCGCCTCGACCGTTACTTCCACGCCGGCTTTACTCACAAGGTGTACTTGAGTCTGTACTTGCTCTTGTGGCTTCCCCTGCATTCACCGGGCAGCCAGGAGCAATTGACGATGGCCTGATCCAACATGTAGCACGTGAAGTTGGAAGGCGGGCAGGGCATCCCTGGGGGAATAGTGTAAGCCGAAGGACACAATATGACAAGAGTCTCCCGTCTGGAAGCATCAAAGAAGACAAATATCCCCGTATAGCCGTCACATACAGTTGGGAGCGAGGGGGTGGGTGACCAGCACCACGACCGGGTACCATTGTCTCCCGAGTGGCGAAGTTTACACACTGGAAGCATCACGCGCTTGTTCACAACACAGCATCTGAATAGACTTGATTTGAAGCTTTCGTGACTGCAGGGATTACTCTTTGTTTTTTTTCGGTAAAGTCACGTATAAATAAGAAATAATAAAATAACATAATAGCGTACGACGTTTCGGATGCAACACAAGCAGCCATCATCAGGTACAGAAGAGCTAAATTATGAGAGAGGGGAGACACATAACCTCAGATGTATATACAGACACCCAAGTAGGGGGAACTGACAGAGATACAACAGAGGACACAGAGAGAGAAGCATACCAGACAAACAGGGTTTAGCAAAATTCTTGGAAACCATGTAAAGCAACACAGATGGTCGGTCAAAACACAATTAACGCATAGTCCGGTTGATCACGCTATTTCCAAAGATTGCTAAATTGCAAGTAAAGTATGAAACTCAAAATACAAACCGCACACACACACAGACAACCAAGTAGAGCGAGCCAGCACAGAGACAAGCACACAGTGAAGTCGCCTTAAATAGGCAGAGAAGGTAAGGCTGAGTGACAATGGGACAAAATTAGCATGAGGTATGCATGGAGCAACGTGGGGCGCGGCAGCACACAATGGGACAAATCACCTCTTCGGGGAGGTATGAGGTCTGTGTCTTTGTGTTGTCTCTGCTTGTGTATCTGCCTTTGTGTCTTGGCTTGGATTTGTGTCTCTGTGCTGTCTCTGCCTGTGTGTGGACCTTGTTGCTTCCGAGTGGGTGCTGCTGAACCCCACTTTACCTCGTGCTGATTTGTCCCATTGTGTGCTGCCGCGCCCCACGTTGCTCCATGCATACCTCATGCTAATTTTGTCCCATTGTCACTCAGCCTTACCTTCTCTGCCTATTTAAGGCGACTTCACTGTGTGCTTGTCTCTGTGCTGGCTCGCTCTATTTGGTTGTCTGTGTGTGTGTGTGCGGTCTGTATTTTGAGTTTCATACTTTACTTGCAATTTAGCAATCTTTTGAAATAGCGTGATCAACCGGACTATGCGTTAATTGTGTTTTGACCGACCGTCTATGTTGCTTTACATGGTTTCGAAGAATTTTGCTAAACCCTGTTTGTCTGGTATGCTTCTCTCTCTGTGTCCCCTGTTGTATCTGTGTGAGTTCCCCCTACTTGGGTGTCTGTATATACATCTAAAGTTATGTGTCTCCCCTCTCTCATAATTTAGCTCTTCTGTACCTGATGATGGCTGCTTGTGTTGCAACCGAAACGCCGTACGCTATTATGTTATTTTATTATTTCTTATTTATACGTGACTTTACCGAAAAAACCAAAGAGCATCTGAATACCCCATAGTGAAGAATCAGGGGCAGTGTAATAGAGACAGATACACACAGGGCAGCTGCGGACAAGGAAACTCATGCATGACAGGTTTGAACACACAAAGCACACACAAACTGGTGTGTTGTTTAACAGGACGCATATTTAGATTACAGATTGTAGTCACCGTCACCAGCAGGGCTGGTAGTGTATATCAGAGGTAGCTGTTTGAAGCCATGAACATAGTTCATTATACTCTCCTGGCCAGCTGACTTCTAACGCTAGTCCTTGCAACCCACTTACTGAGGCTTCAGAACGATACCCTCGGATTTTGAGACGCTCCAAAGACGCGCACTGCAGTGGTGCCGCGTCGCTGCGCAGTGCGGCGAATGCGCGCGGATGAGGCTCGCGGGGCCGGTGAGAGTCAAAGTGAGTGGCAGGCGATGTCTGGATCCCTCCCAAACGCCCTCGGCCCGTGAAACACAACTGGCTCCGCATGTCGCAGTCCGGGAAAGAAGAGCCGCGTCGGCACTCACATCCGACGGTGATGTCCGCGCTGCGCAGGAGTTTGTGCCTCTCGTCGCCGGGCGCTTTGCGTCGCAAGCACATGAGCCTCTGCCCGCCCATCATCGGCTGGCCCCCGGGGGACCCCGCGCCGCCACGCTCGGTCGGCTGGAGGTCGCGCAGCGTGACCACCGACGTCCTGTTGTTGAGCACCGTCACGTGGCTCTGCGGCAGCTCGCTGGCGCCGTACACCCAGACTATGTCGTGCGCCGTCATCCCGGGAGGGGCGGCGGGGAGGAGGGTGCAGCGCACCATCACGTCGGAGCCCACGGGCACCCGCACCTCGTTGGGGTCGATCGACGCCACCCAGTCCCCGTCGCTGCCGCGGACCTCTGCCGGGGTTCAGAAAAGAGCGGCGGCAGCGGCGACGGCGGCGACGTCTTTCGTTTTGCGACATGCCTCGTAATGGGAAATAAAGGGTCACGGGTGAGAGGGACGTTGTCGGGAAGGTCACCGTGGGTGCTGGACGCACAGACGGGGTTCAGCGGTACCACACGCGTGGGCCACATGGACAAGAGTGAGCGACATTTCAGCCGGAGCTGTGCAGCGGGAGAGAAAAGTAATTCTGAAGGCATGTCTTACACCCCGTTAAGTTTGGACCACAAGTGTATAACACCGTGCCATCCGCATATTAATGAAATTTGTACGACTGGACGACCGCAACTTAAGTCTTTAACAAAGATGTTTAAAAAGAGATGGCCCAAAACAAATCCCTGAGGCACACCACTTTCAACACATCCCATATTACGAATGGTTCCACCCCACTGGACACATTTGGATTTATCCCTCGTGTAGTCATGTATCCATTCCTGGGGTTGAAAACTATAAATCGCAGCACTTTCAGGTTTCTCATCAGGGTGGGATGATCCGTTCGTCAATGATGACTGTAAACGCACAACATTTACAATTTGAGTACGAAGTTTCGCTGGTGATTACAACCAGCGTCATCAGTCAATTTGTAAAAAAAAAACAGCTTTATTATGGATATTGGTCGCGAAAGCCTCCGTGTTACATTCAAGATTGTTAATCCTACACCTCTCATCTAGAGCTTCTAGGAGATGAGCCACCATATTAACACGAGCACAAGTTGAACGTTCCTTCCTAAAGCCTGATTGGGTATATCGTATGAGTGAAAAGTTAACAAAATGCTTGGTCAAATGTTGATTTATCTCATGCTCTGAACATCTTATTTAAGTTAGCAATGCTAAATGGATGGTGGAAGTTGTTGATGTTAAATGCATCAGCTTTGCTGAAAAGAGACTGATGGAAAACACCCATTGGAGGATAAGTAAAAGAGTAACCAAATCCGGAATGCTTTGGTAGCAATGCCGGGCCACGGCAACCCGTAGCATGGCACCTGCGTAACCGGAGGAGGCTCGGTGGTACGGCTTGCTGGGGGGGGGGGGGGGCGGTGGTGATGACAGTGCTGACGGGGGGTTGCTATTCCGACCGGGATGGCCGCTGAACCACGTTCAGTCTCCAAAGTTTTAGTTTGTGATCTTAGAGACTTTTTTTTGCCAGTATCAAAATGATGGAACAGAAAGACTTCATGCCTTGCAATAGGTATTTATTTGGTGTTTGAACATCTTGACACCTGTTGTATTGCTTTAAAGGGTAAAGCCTATTCCTATTTATTCAGCATTAGTTTGTGCTATGAAAGTAATCATTCATGAGAATAACAGAAGCATTCTTAGCAAGTAAATGTTATTACCTGGTATTTTTTAAGTGGCTATCTAAATCATCGTTAGTTATTATTGATACTGCATAGGTTATGGATGATATTGGTCGCGAAAGCCTACGTGTTAAACTGACTGCAAAGGTTGCTGCTATTCATCCAGAATGTGTTCATATTCTTTCATATGGCATCATAAAGTGATGATGGCCACTCCAAGTGAAACCAAATGTCCTAAAGCTGCGGTGGGGCAACACTCCAGTAGGATGTGGCTACTGGCACCCAGAGGGTGTTATCTGAGCTTCAACTAGGATGGGGCGAGTGCATTGTGAGTGTGGTGGCTGGGGAAGGGGGGTAGGTGGTAGACTTAATGTTGGGCTTCATATAAAAAATTAAAACTTATAAACTATTTTTATTTTACCAGGCAAGGCCCACTGAGCTATGTCGCTCTTTGTCATAAACGACCTGGCCACAAATGATAGCTCAATAAAGCGGCTTATACAGAATTTCATAGCAGCCAAAATGCACGTTGATTCTAAATGTGGAGGGAAGCACCGGATGACCCAGAGCATAATCCACGTGACCAGGGGGAGAACATGTAAACTCCAAATATAGAGGAGGTGTCAGGATCAGGATCTAACCCACGACCGCCTGTATACCAGGCGAGGGAGTTAACATCACGCCACCGTGGCTCCCCAAGTCAGGGGGTGGCCCACAGTGAACGGTTCCCGGTGGTCACTGGGTAGATTACAGAGCCCACGATGGAGGAATTCTACTGCACTGAAATGATACTAAATCTACTAAACTACTTGCTACTGACTCAGTACTGCAGCAAAACTGTGCGTGTGCCGCTGTGTGTTGAAAGGTTCCATCATCAGCATAACATCATTTACGTCACCGTGTTGAAGGGATGAAAACGCAGACTCAAAAAAAAACAACGATTGTTGTGGGTGTTTCTTAGCCGGATCTAAGGACGTTGGGGGTTGTCCGGACACCCATAGCACCCGGCGGTGGCTTTGCCACTGGTCATGAGACCGCGACTCACCGAACACCAAGCACGCTACAGCCACCACCCTCCACATGAACTCCATGTCACAGATGTCCTTCACCGCGCCTTAGACGACGCAGGATGATCACCAGGTCACATCAGTCGCGTCTCCGTCTGGTAGGCGGCGTCTGCATTTGCGTCCCTTGAGCGTCTTTTTATCTCGTCCCAGCTTGCCACGCTTCAACGTGGCTCTCCTCTGCCTACGTCGGCGGCGAGCGGGGAAGAATGCAGAGGGGTTTTCGAGTGAAGGGTTGGGCATGGTTTGACAAAACAAGGGAACGAAAAATAATGCCATTACCATCATGCTCACGGCTGATCGACGTCACTCGTGACTCGTGTTATTGTCGGCGGTGGTGTTTCTATCACGTGCTCGCAACATTGTTGTTGTTGTTTTCTATCTCTTTAACGTTTACCAAGTGAAACGGTCAGATAGCGTGAAGGAGAGGCAGAATGATCACATATTTGTCACGCGATACAATGCGCGGCAATGCACTCCAGTTCAGGACTGACCACCCCCCCCCCCCCCCAACGTGTGTGCAAAAGTGTGTTGCTCAAGAAGGAGAGCGTGTGTCGAAACTTTGATTGAGCAAGCCCTGCTTGCCCTCGTTTGGCTGCGTTCCTCCTTATCCGTGATCACAACGGTCTGCTTTATGTTAAAAAAAAACAACATGATTCTGCTCACATGAATCGGATCCTGGGTTTGAATCCAGGCAGCCATCTGTGATTAAACCAGGTTCTCAGGCGGGGGGGAGGGGGTCTCAGCCCGGTCACCACTGCATAAAGAAACCCCATCACATTAACATTTGTTTCTGCGCTTCATTTGGTCTGTCATGCAACGAGCGTGGCTCGCGTATGCAAAGCGAGCACAAAAGTGCTGCCTCCTAATGTGTGGACCAGAGGTCACTTGAAGGGATCTCAGTGGCAGCTCTGTGATGTCTACTTCCGTGGGCAATTCGAATGGATAATCCATCTCAGGTAATTGACGCTGATAGCACAACCAGGATACAAGTGAAGGCGGGGGGGGGGGGGACAACAGAATTCCACGCAGAAACCGTTCTCTACCATTTGAAACAGGTCCCTGCAGGGTGGACTGGTAGGAACATTGGAATTTTGCGCAATTTTATTTTTACACCCCAACAGCACGAGATTTCACTTCGTTAAAGTATTGAAAGGGGACGGACGGACGGACGGACACATTATCTATTGCAGGCTGGTACACTCAGTTTACAACTTCGTTCCTACCAGTATAATGGAAACGCTAGAGATCTGTTTCAATGTCCGAGGCTGTCACTTATTCCACGTAAATTAGCAGCTGATTTCTACGGAAGATTGAGCCAAGATCCAATTTTGGACGTATTAAAAAAAAATTGAAACGAATTAATTTACCCACTTACTCAAATAAATAAATGGTACATCGTATGTGAACGCGCGTGTGCAGACAGCCTTGTTTTGACAATGGAAGCATCGTTTGAATCGACAACCTGTAATACTGCCATCGGCAAAGCAACATATTGCGTTCACGATAATGACAGAATAGTGGGCATGATTCCACACCTGTGATCACCTTGAACAAAACCACAAGATCTTTTTCTACATTTGCCCTATCACCAAGTGTAACCAGGGTGATAGTTGAGAATGATGAATATAATGCCCTACACTACATCGCCATTTCATTTTAAATCCCACAGTATGAACTTAAACGTGAACATCTCTGCATCTGAAGTAATACAACCTTTCAGTACAAACACATTTGTTAATATTTATGACGCAAGCATGATATTCGATTGAAAGTTGAACAAAGACATCGCAAAACATTGCACGGACAACATTTGTAATCATGCTCTGTCACCGTAATGAGATATGCTTATCTGGAAAGCCTCCTTAAATGTGAAACCCCTTTTTTTCATACAATATTGAGATATACCACCATAAGAAGTTGGTGATCCACCATAGGTGGCAATGCGGTTGCTAACCACGCTTATAATGCAGTAGTCATAATGCTAGATCACAAATTAAGCATGGGCACGTACGTACAACTACCTTCTTCTTTGGTTCTTTCGGTAAAGTCACGTAGAACGAGAATAAAATAATAAATTGATAAAATAAAATAACACAATATAATTCTCACGACGTTTCGGCCACAACACAAGTGGCCTTCTTCAGGTGAAAGGAACAGACCTGTCGGGACGACAGAGCTTTGTCAGACCTGTCGTCCCGACAGGTCTGTTCCTTTCACCTGAAGAAGGCCACTTGTGTTGTGGCCGAAACGTCGTGAGAATTTTATTGTGTTATTTTATTAATTTATTATATTTTTATTTTATTAATTTATTATTTTTTTATTTTATTCTCCTTCTACGTGACTTTACCGAAAGAACCAAAGAAGATGAATCCTTGCAGTCACGAAAGCTTTAAATCGATATACAACTACCTTGTTTCATCAAACCGATGTATTTATTCACACTTTTTACCATTGAGAACCAAAGGGGTGCAGGCTGCAGGAAAGGTTAAGGACCACTGTGCTAGGCATACAGGACACATTGTTGCTGAGCACAGACCCAAAGGTCCAAAATGCCCTCAACGGCCAGCAACAAGCGGCACTTATTGAAGGGGTAAACATGTATAGGACTTAATACGTTTTGTGAATCGATACATGGCTACAAGAAACTTGGCAAAAGAGACCATTGAGAGGGAGCTTAGACTACGTGGAGGCATTTGCACCTCTGATTAGCACGGTCGGCTATGCACGGTGGCAAACAAGTTCAACGTACACGCGTAACAACTGGGGAGTGTGAGCAGCAAGGTTGCAATGGCTCACCTGCGAAGGCGAATGTCCGACGTTTCTGCATCCGCCTGAAAGCCCCATTAACGGCACGTGCCACACGTGCCGCGCGTAAGGTTACATTCGTTGACTTCTTGGGAGGCGCGCGCGTGCAGAGGAGTCGAAAGCAACTATGGGCTATGGGCGCAGTTGGGCTGGCGTAATAACATCCAAACGAAGTGTGCGACTGCAATGAGCACAGATCTGCAAACAAACATGTTGTGGGGAGGGGGCGGGGGTTGGGAGATTATGGGATCGGGGTGGGATGATGATGATACAGATAAGGGAAGAAGCAATGTGTGGGGGAGAGTGTTAGGGTTAAGATGAGAAATAACATCAGCAGTAGATCTTGACATATTGTCAATTTGGTGACTGTGTGCCTACCCAAAACGACTGCATTAAGTATGCACTTTGCATGTATGTCTGTGTGTGCCTGTGTATGTCTGTGTGCGGGGTACACCGAGCGGCAGTGTAGCGGTTAGCGCGCTGCACTAAGAACCCAGCGACCCGAGTTCGATTCCCGCTCACAGCCAACACCAGTGACAATTATCGGAACCGGTCCTGGACCTCCCCTACGTCGACTCAGCCTCAAATGAGTAACTGGTGCGATGCCTAAAAATATCGCCACTTGGGAGACAAAGGCGGCCGGGCGTGGTGCTGGCCACCCACCCCCCGTGAGCTGTTCTGGCCTAACTGCACTTCCCCCAACAGTCTGTTAAGGCTATACGGGAGATCTTTGTCTTGTTTATTGGGGCTCACCAATAGCTGGGGTGTGAAACGTGATGGGACAATGTCTCAGGAACCACTCGTCCAACGCCTATATAATCGAGCAGTCTTAAGAGCGCAGACGAAGTTATCATATTGCTTTGGCAGTGGTTTCCCGCTTCAAGTTTATTTTGATTCAGGAAAATAATCAGAGGTGGAAACTCAAAGAGACAACGACGAGCCTCACTTTCAAGGGTGACTTTCATCAGCAGAATGACAGCAACAAAAGAATAAGATGAAATTAAGTACGAAGATGAAGCCATTATATTTTGCTGTTTGTACACAAGCCGCAGATAGCAAAGGCTCAACACGTTCGTCAACAGCGACTAAACAGCATAGACAATAAGGTTCACAGTAAGTAAAACTTCTAGTGTTGCCAAAGCAGACATTGGCTGATTTGGCACGATTTAATAGCAGATATTTTTCAAACGAGGAGCTGAATGCAACTGTGCCTTTTTTTATAAGAAGAACAGGGCAATGCCCCCCCCCCCCCACTCACTCACCCGAGATTTTTTTAAAATTATATTAACAGTCCGTTCTCCTATAACGCGGTAGTTGCGTTGCCAAAGAACACAGCGTTAAGGAAAAATTGCGTTATAATATATAATATAGGGTAAAGCAAAGTCCGCGATGACACGCGAGATGCGTATGGAGGCTGAACAAAGACTGAGGCGCGTGGTGGGTAGAGCATCTAGGAGCATCCAGCAGCATCCCAATGCCTCGTGTGACGCTACGCCGAGGCAGCCGTACGACCGCTTATTCCTTACTCGCGCGACGTAGTTCCGTTCACTCAGTCGCGTTACATCCAATTCGCATCCGCGTTGTAAAAAAATAAAAATGTCTTCCATAATATGTTCATCGCGTTATACCACGCGTTGTCACAGAACTGACTGTACGTTGTTTTTTTTAGTATCAAGGAAGGGCCCTGTTTGAAAAACTTGAAATTTCAGGACTGTTCCCCCCACCACAACTTTTGAAGGTTTTACAGTGAGGGAAAAAAGTATTTGATCCCCTGCTGATTTTGTACGTTTGCCCACTGACAAAGAAATGATCAGTCTATAATTTTAATGGTAGGTTTATTTGAACAGTGAGAGACAGAATAACAACAAAATACGGAAAAACGCATGTCAAAAATGTTATAAATTGATTTGCATTTTAATGAGGGAAATAAATATTTGACCCCTCTGCAAAACATGACTTAGTACTTGGTGGCAAAACCCTTTGCTGGCAATCACAGAGGAAAGACGTTTCTTGTAGTTGGCCACCAGGTTTGCACACATCTCAGGAGGGATTTTGTCCCGCTCCTCTTTGCAGATCTTCTCCAAGTCATTAAGGTTTCGAGGCTGACGTTTGGCAACTCGAACCTTCAGCTCCCTCCACAGATTTTCTATGGGATTAAGGTCTAGAGACTGGCTAGGCCACTCCAGGACCTTAATGTGCTTCTTCTTGAGCCACTCCTTTGTTGCCTTGGCCGTGTGTTTTGGGTCATTGTCATGCTGGAATACCCATCCACGACCCATTTTCAATGCCCTGGCTGAGGGAAGGAGGTTCTCGCCCAAGATTTGACGGTATATGGCCCCACCCATCGTCTCTTTGATGCGGTGAAGTTGTCCTGTCCCCTAAGCAGAAAAACACCTCCAAAGCATAATGTTTCCACCTCCATGTTTGACGGTGAGGATGGTGTTCTTGGGGTCATAGGCAGCATTCCTCCTCCAAACACGGCGAGTTGAGTTGATGCCAAAGAGCTCCATTTTGGTCTCATCTGACCACAACACTTTCACCCAGTTGTCCTCTGAATCATTCAGATGTTCATTGGCAAACTTCACACGGGCATGTATATGTGCTTTCTTGAGCAGGGGGACCTTGCGCGCTGCAGGATTTCAGTCTTTCACGGCGTAGTGTGTTACCAATTGTTTTCTTGGTGACTATGGTCCCAGCTGCCTTGAGATCATTGCCAAGATCCTCCCGTGTAGTTCTGGGCTGATTCCTCACCGTTCTCATGATCATTGCAACTCCACGAGGTGAGATCTTGCATGGAGCCCCAGGCCGAGGGAGATTGACAGTTCTTTTGTGTTTATTCCATTTGCGAATAATCGCACCAACTGTTGTCACCTTCTCACCAAGGTGCTTGGCAATGGTCTTGTAGCCCATTCCAGCTTTGTGTAGGTCTACAATCTTGTCCCTGACATCCTTGGAGAGCTCTTTGGTCTTGGCCATGGTGGAGAGTTTGGAATCTGATTGATTGATTGCTTCTGTGGACAGGTGTCTTTTATACAGGTAACAAGCTGAGATAAGGAGCACTCCCTTTAAGAGTGTGCTCCTAATCTCAGCTCGTTACCTGTGTCAAAGACATCTGGGAGCCAGAAATCTGTCTGATTGAGAGGGGGTCAAACACAACTACAAGAAACGTCTGACCTCTGTCATTGCCAGCAAGGGTTTTGCCACCAAGTACTAAGTCATGTTTTGCAGAGGGGTCAAATACTTATTTCCCTCATTAAAATGCAAATCAATTTATAACATTTTTGACATGCGTTTTTCTGGATTTTCTTGTTGTTATTCTGTCTCTCACTGTTCAAATAAACCTACCATTAAAATTATAGACTGATCATTTCTTTGTCAGTGGGCAAACGTACAAAATCAGTAGGGGATCAAATACTTTTTTCCCTCACTGTAAATACACCTCTGTTGCAAGGAATTCAAATCGATCATCATCGTCAGCCATAGTAAAACCACTGCCAGATTGAAGGACTAACCCCAAGCAGCCACCACCACTCATGGTCCCCTCCATCACCCATTGTTAAAGAATCGGAGCTGTACATCAGCGTTGAACTGCGTCGTTGAAAATGTTGGCAACACGAATTTTTCGTGTGATTTTCATCACCTGCTGCTGGATATACAGATTTAACTGGCTGTAAGTGTCCGAGGGTGACCCGCTGATCAAGTATGATGCTGTGTCTGGTTGTGTTGATCACTGAGATTGGTATGCAGGATGAGTTGTCTCTACTCATTGTCACCAGGACCTCAATGATGTGTAAACCCTCTGGCCGTTGGGGCTTCTCTTGAGGGACAAACAGCATCACTTCATCTCCCTCCAGCTGTTCCAAATGAGCACGACTTGGAAACCATTGTGGCTTGAGCTGGTGGTAGCACCACTCTCTGTTTGCCTCTCTTGACTGCCCCCCCCATCACTGTCCCGGTTGCCAGAAGACAACAGGTGGAAGAGGACCTTTGTGTCTCCCGGAGTGATGGAGAAAGCCGCACCCACAACCCCCACTTTAATGGGGTCCGCAATTGGCTCTCCTCCTTCCACAAAACCCATTGATGACCTCCTCGATGACTTTAAAAACAATAATGGGATCTTCTGCAACCTTGGGGTCCCTGGATACCAGCATTGGAATGAGAAAGCACTGACTGGTCCCCATATTACTGTTCAATCTGAATGCCACCTCTATCCATCCTGTGAATGGTAGTTCTCTTTGGTTAATTACCATTTTCGGTAATTGTACCAGTCCCCAAGAGCTCTTCAACTGGTCTCACTCTTGACTTAGGTAGATGCTCATTTCGCCATGCTTCATTTATAACACTGGCTAGTACTCCTGTGTCTTAAAGGGCAGAGGTTGATACGTGGGGTCCAGTAAACACTTCACCATGCATCTTTTCCCAATTAACTTTAACAGTCTGATGTTGCATTTAGGCCCCAGAAAGATAACCTTGCCAATATTTGGGTTCCTCCACTCTGGTGTCTTTTCACATTCTGTTTCCTTCTGTAATGTGTTGATTTGTAGTGACATATAACGTCACTGCCGTGTTGGGTCTGTACACACATGACGTCACTGCTATGTCGGGATTTTTCGCATGATGTCACTGCTATGTCGGGTCGGTACGAATGACGTCACTGCCGGGTCGGGCAGTGTGGAGGCTGTTGACGAGTGCCACGGGGGTCGTGTCAGGCAATGGCACTCTTGAGTGAACCCGACCGGACACGTGACCGGATCAAGGTGGGGGCCAGGGGCCCCAGGGGAACATTGGGGGTCACGTGGTCAGGGAGCAGAGCCTTCTCAGGGGTTCAAGAAGGTGGGCGTGGCCTGGGTGTGGCCGGCCACGCCGAGGCGCATATAAGCGGGCTCCGCACGCAGAGCGGGGTTGTTCGTGTCCGGGATGCAGACGCCTCATGAAGACTCAAGTCGTTGTGGCCAAGCAGAAGCCCTCCTGGCTTGGCCACGTTGAGTAGTACCCGAGTGTTCGAGTGTTAGCGAGATTAGGACGGTGGTCACCACCTTATATATGTAGTGTGTGTGTTACAGTTGTATTGCAGTTGTGTTAAATAAATAGTGTTGCCTCCATATGAGTGTGTGCGCCTCTGTCGAACCATTACAGATTGTTCTGCAGAGTACCTTGTGTTCTTGCCAGTGTTGTTTTTGGCAGGTATTCGAGCAGTCC